GCTCCTTACAGATTCTCCTCTAAAATACACTCCCAGCTGGCTCACAGGTAATGAGGAGACTGTGTCACCCTCTTAGTTCTGACACCCCCTCACCACCACTTCACGATATGGATCTTGAATAGAGTTCCAAGGGCCATCCATCTTCATCCCTCACAAGACCTGTGGTCCACATCCTAGATATCACCTCTTTAATGGAACACAACTGAGTACATCTGTCTGAGCCACCCGTGGTTCATTTTTAGTGAAAGCTATTTCTTGCTCAAGGTCTGAGCAAGTATGTGTCCACTCTCAAATTACCCCTTATTTTCATCAGATGTCACAGAGTCTGGCAGATTAACTAGCCTTGTTTGGTTGCAATGTTCCAAATAATGAAAACCTAATCTGAAATACCATAAATTGTCTCTGTTTAAATAAAGGGAAGAAAAGAAAGAAAAGGACTAGAGAGGAGGGGGTAGGTAAATAACAGAAGGGAAAGGAAGAAAAAGAAAGAAAAAGGAAAGGAAGGGAAGAAGAAGAAAGAAATAGAAAAAGGAATTTATTGGCTTATAAAACAGAGCAGCTGGAACCAGCAGGTGGCATAATGGTTACACTGCTGGACTTCCATGTAGTGGACTGCAGTTTGAGTTCCCAACCCAGCAGCTTAAAACTCATGCTGGGCACATGTGTATGTGTGCCCAAAATCCCAAGAGGAGACTGGAGAAGAAGGGACTGCCATGTAGTCATCCCCTCGGGGAAGTGATTTCTCTCTTTCTGGCTCTCTTTCTCTGTGTCTCTGGTGAGTGTATGCTCCTGATAGCAAAAATCTCTCCAAAAAAAATAAAAAAACAAGAGCAGCCTACGTTGTTAATGTGGTGGCTTCAAGCAAAGCTGGATCTAGATGTTTGTAAGCCATCCTTAACTGCGATTGCTATCTCCATTCCTTCACCCTCTGTTTAGACTACATCCCTCCCAGGGTCTCTCTACAAGGTCATGGAAAGCCACTATGGGCTACAGAACTACATTGTCTTTGAGCTTGGAGAATGATTGCTATTCCTAAAGACCTTGCCAAAAGTCTCAGGGGTAGTTCATTGGCCTGGCTTGGAGCATGTGCCTATCTCTGGACCAGCTGCTAGATAGAGCTGGGGTTGGAGAACTCGGATTAGCCAGCCTTGGCTCACAGAACCAGCCCTGGGAAGAAGACTAGGAAGACAGAGCCAGCATTCCTCTGAACATAGACTGAGCAAGATTTATTATACACTGTGAGGGGACTTCACCAAAATGAAGTTTGCCAGATAGCCTAAAAAAAAAGAAGAAGAAGCTTACAGTGCAATGTAAACTTTGCTTCAAGTTTTGTGGTTAGGGATTGGAGCCATTTTTTCTGTTTCACTGGTGACATTTATTTCTGTTTTTCATCCTTTGCTGTCTTCATTGGGTTTCTGCAGAATGCCTCTGCTTTGCCATCTGTAACCAAAAGCCCCCATTCTTACATTTTATTCCAACAATACTGACAGCGCTTGACAATTTACAAATAAGGCTTTCAAGCCATGTTAATCATCCCGCAACCTTTAGGAGGGCTGGGTGGAGGCAGAGTTGAAGGAGCACAGTTATTTCTATTTTGTAGATTAAAAAATTAAGAGCCAGCTAGTGGCGTGGGGAGTAAAACAGCTGGATCCCACTTGGCTGATTGAATGGTTTGAGTCCTGAACCCTGTGGCTTGAAGAACATGCTGGGTGAGTGTGTGTACATGCCCCAAATCCTGAGAGGAAAGTGGAGAAGAAGGGACTGCAGCATGGCCATCCTCCCTGGAAGGTGTTTTTTCATTTTCCCTCTCTGTCTCTCTCTGGCAAATACAACTGTCCTATAGCAAATTTACAAATATATATATATATATATTTTTGCACAAATGGATTTAAAAACTGAGTCTTGAAAAGTAACAATTCCTTTCCTAAAAGGCAGGCAGCTAGATCAAGTGACTGAGAGACAAAAGAAGCTAAATCCAGAGATTCTGGCTCCTGGCAAAGAGTTCTTGACTCTCTACAACAATTGACTATTCTTGGGATTTCCTCCTAAAGGTCACATTTCCAAACCATGACAGTTTGAATGACATGTACACAGAAAGCCTGAGGAGGTTTTTAAGCAGATATATGAAGAGGTCCACTAGGTTGTATCACTGGATGGATATGTGGCTGGGAGGACAGATGGAGATATACACACATTTTGCAAACAGCAGCTTTATTATTTTTAGGCCCTACGGTGATACTGCGTAAGAGAGAGAGTGTGGCTGAGGAGCTGGTGCTGCCAAAGCTTATGTGAACCTCTAAGTGGACACGGGGAGACTGTCATAACGGCACGTGGTTTGAGGATGACAGTTCCATAAAAGCGTGAGAGTGTGTTCCCTGTGGGAGAGTGACATGGTCCCCCAATATCTTGTTTGCAATGATGCCTTGCTTAGCAAACTCTTTTCCCATCATAACCAGCATAAGGTGAACTAGTCTATGCCATGTCTGAATTATCTCTATTTTCAATTAAGGGTGTACAAATCAATGCAGTTTCACCAAAACCAGCTGCTCCCTTCTTGCCCCAGCCAGGCAAGTATCAACATCCAGGTGGCAGCTCTCACACCAGACAAGCTCGCCAGGACCCCGGGTGGGAGGGTGCGTCCTCACTTGCTCTGTCTTCTTTCCATAGTCTACTCACACTCCTCTCAACCCAGTGCTGTCTCAACTTCCTGTCTCCCTTCTTCTGTGAGCCCACCTCACTGAGTCTTCATTTCCTTCTTTATGGTCTAAAGATGGAAAAATGTTAATTGAGGGTAGGGCCCTAGCATCAAAACTGGGAATACTGTGCTGCACAGCAAAGATCATTTCTTGGAATTATTCACTTAAATGTTTACAAGAAACAATTATCCAGTGTTCCGGACTGATTCATAAATGTAATTAATGAAAGAATTGCTAAGAGTTTCCATTTTCTGGTTTGTTTTAATCCTACTGTATAAACTTTTTTTTTTTTCTTGGCACCACTTCAACAAGTCTACCCAATGACTAAAGGAGGTGAAGATTTATAAAGCAAAATGTTATTGAAAGTTAAACTCGCCAGGGTGTTCTGCAAACCCAGCTCAGAAAAAAATCATCATATGCTACAAAAGCCATCCTAACAAAACAAAAACAATTAGTGTTACTGCCAACATCTCATAATTTTGGATGGTCATGAAGAAGTGCTTTCAGTCCCTAATTGATTTGTCCTTTGCTGTTTGTAGGATAAAATATGTAACTAAAAATGCCCTGCTGTCCCAGAATCAGGGAGACATAATGGTCCCTGACTTGCCAGATTGTTCTGCAACATCTGAAGGTTTGCAAAAATAAATAAACAAATTACATAGCTCTTGTCTGGTTTTTCTAGTCAACTTTCATTACTGTAAGGATGGATGCAGCAAGATAAATGTTTCCTTTTTACTTCAGTCCTGAAAGAAACACGTTCTCCTGCTGCCTTTTATGCTTAAGCTCTGAGGTCCACAGCCTATTCTTATTCACCAACTGGAAAAGATTGGTCGGCAATGGCCAGTTTGATGCTTTGTGCTCAACTCCCAAAGTCCCAATTTGAAGTCATTCTCTTCCACTTAAGGAGACATTTCATTTTTCCTTTAATTTAAAAAATGTTCTGAATGCAAAGTGACATTACAAGGACGACTAGGTTGCCTAATACGAATTCCGTGTGTGTGACACTCTTCAGGCTGTGTCAGCAGACAAGGTCAGTTCAGCTAAACTAACAAGCTGCCAAGCAGCCACTTCGGGGAAAGCTGTAAGCACATGCATGTGTACAAGTCAGACTCCAGAGTGAGTGCAACAAGTACGCGGTCTTAAAATGGACCGTGGAACTTAATCTCGTTAAGCAAATTCAAACTGGGCAATTGTCCATGATGAACCAATGGAAAGTTCTAGAAAAAAATATCTTGAGTGACCTTGTTCAGTCCAAGACCTTCTGTCTGTCTTAGCATCATTCCTCGCTGGGACTGGGAAACGGAGCCTGCTCGCCCTGGTCTATCCCCTCCCTCAGAATAGAAAGCCTCCAATTATGTGAGACTTCTTTTGTAAGATACCAGGGTAAGAATTCATGTGGCCCATAGAGTGACTGTTTTTCCATAAATCCTTAATATGGTGGGAAATTTCCTTTTCAAAAAAGACTTACCTTGAGGCATAGTGTGAAATACAGTCATTTCTTTTTTTTTTCTTTGTAGAGGTTTTTGCTATAGGGCGTGTGCACTCACCAGACAGAGACAGACATAGAGACAGAAAGCGAGAAATCACCCCCCAGGGAGGATGGCCATGTCGCAATCCCTTCTCCTCCATTCTCCTCTTGGGTTCTTGGGCATGCACGCATATGCGCCCGGCATGAGTTTTAAGCCACCGGGTCCGGGACACGAACTGCAGTCGACTACGTGGGAGTCCAGCAACATAGCCATTACGCTAACTGCTGGTTCCCCGAAATACAGTCATTTCTAATCATTCCTTTGTGACAGGTTACTAGAGGGATATTATACATACTGAAATCCACAGGAATCTCCTGTTTTAACCACTAGTTTGCAAAGTAAATACTGAATCCAAGTTTCTACTGGAGAAAAAAGTTAAGTGTCCACTCTTTTGGAGTTAACAACAGTGGACTGACCCAAAGGGAGGTAACTGCAGATTCCGGGCCAGGCAAGAATCCCAAATAACATACAAACAGAATGACCAGTCACCACCCAAGCCTGCCAGGAACAGTCCCATAGCACCTTATTCTGACAGTTCTATTGAAGCAGCATTTTGGCAGTTTGAATAAAACTTCTCCTGAGGATTAAAGAGGGAATGATATAAAATCAACTCCATTAAACCATGAGAAGAAACCCCTCCTATTCATGTACCATTAACTTAAAATTTGTTTACATAAAAGAGAAAGAGCACATCAATGATTTATATATGCTAGAGAACAAATTGATAAATGATATGATTATCCTGACAAGAAAATTAAATAAAAAGAATACTGACCCTCCACTTCTGAGATGAGATAAGGCCGTTCCAATGAACATTTCTTGCTCCTTGATTTCACGGAAGCCTCCATCATAGGTTAGCTGAAGTGGGTGACTCTTTGTGTGGCCAACGGCATTTGATTCTGTTAAACAAATCCCATTTATTTTCATCATAGAGTCCCCCATCATAACCATTTCTTTGGATTCCACTGTCTTCTTTGCTGTAATAACAAAGAAAATGTCTTGTCAAAGCATTTGTTTTTGGGGGGATCACTTTCTTTCAATGTTTTTATCTCAAAACTCTAAGGGGATCACTTTCTTTCAATGTTTTTATCTCAGATCTCTGAGTTTATGACTTAAAAGTTATGCATTGTTTATAATCAAGTCTGGATTTTATGGCCAAAGCCTTTCTGAATATATTTAAGACCTTACCACTTTCTTAGGCATGCATGGTACCATCAGTTTTGCAGGTAAAAATTAGCAGAATCTTCCCTCCATTAGCTCAGAGTCTACCTGAAGGCAAGTATTTAGATCTAGGTTTAGGAATCACTTAGTCCACATATGCACTTCTGTGTCCCAGAACAATAACTCTTCTTCCTGAATTAGACCATCAGACTTTTTTTTAATTGTCAGAGGGCACTTGTGAGAGAGAGACAGAAAGAGAGAGAGTGAGAGCGCCCCCAGTGGGGCATGGTCATGCTGCAATCCCTTCTCCACTTTCCCATCCCACTGGGTTTTGAGGCATGCAAACACATGCACCTGGAGTGGTTTTTCAAACCACAGGAGTTAGGACATGGCTCCCTGAACCATTAGGCTACAGGGCTGGCCTTCGTAATTTTTCATTCAAAAAAATATTACTGAACACCTGCTGTGTGTCAAGCACTGTCTCAGGTTCTTGGGGTGCATTAGTGACAAAAAGAGATCCCTGACCTCGCAGGCCTACATCCTAAATAGGTACAAAGAGAAGAGATGCAATATCCCATAATAGATACATGTTACAAGGAGGTAAGTGCCATGGGGAAAAGCAAATGTAAAAAAGCGTCAAGGGGACTAGGAATGAAATAGGTAGCAGTTTTTTGTTTTATTGTTGTTGTTTTTTTAGAGAGATTTTTGCTATAGGGTATATGTACTTGCTGGAGAGACAGAGATAGAGAGACAGAAAGCAAGAAATCACTGCCCCCCAGGAAGGATGGACATGTCTCAAACCCTTCTCCTCCATTCTCCTCTTGGGATTTTGGGCACGTACGCACACGCGCCCGATGTGAGTTTTAAGACAATGGGTCTGGCTAGACGCCCCCCCAGCGCAGCCACGCGCCGGGAACAGCCTGGCCGGCC